ATTTCATCTTAATTTATTTATACTTGTCTAATATCGATTTTTGCTAAGGTGACGACTAATATGGAAAGTTTAAAAGATTTTTTAATAATCCACAAGAAAAAATCTAGTAATAAATAGCCAATATTACTCAGTGATTTGCTTTAGGTGAAAGAATTTTTGAAATTGGTCCAGTAGTTTATGAGTTTAGAGTACAAAGATTTTCTCTTTACAATATTACGAGCTTTCGCCCGCGACTACGTCTGCGTGGAATTACAAAAAACAAAAGTTAGTACCCTAAGTGTTCTTCCTGACTATCCTCTACATCTATACTAAATTGCATCGAGATCCGTCCAGCCATTAAGGCTACAATCTCTAATAAACATCCATCCATCTATATAAACTTTCGCATTCTAACAGTGGTAGAGCCCGCTTTAACAGCTAATGGGCCGGCTCGCCCGGTGTAATACCACGACCACAGAAAACAGGCGTGAAGTGGAAGCAATTCCGCGTTTCGCCTGATGAGTGTGGTGCCGGAGGACTAATTTTAGTCCCTTTCCCTTTCCACCCTTTTCTCAAGAGGAAATGATGGAAGGAATAGTGGATTTGACAGTGGAGGAGACGCATAGGAAGGAGAAATGTCCTTTTTATGTGCGTCTTCTTCTCCGTTTGTGAAGGGTAGGCAACGCATCTGCAATTGCGGATGTTTATGGGCAGCGGTCGCTTTCCACTTCGGTGGATTCTGGTGGCCGCTTGCTCGTTTGCCACCTTGTATTATAAAAAAAAATATAATGTTAGCATGATATACCAAATTGCACAACGTAACACAGTAAGAAGCAACTTAATGAAAACAAAATATCTACTGACAGTGAACTTTTGTTGGTATTTTTTTCCAACAAACTAGAATGTATATGAACATTTTGTTTCAGTTTAACGACACATAAATAAGTGTTACGTGGATCTCCGAGACGTTTATAACGCTCAATCCTTATGGTACTTTCACACGAGGGTAGCCAACTGAAATACATCAGACAATTGACAATTTAGTACTATTATTAAGAACCACACTGTCATATGTAGTTTTCGCTCTACCTTACTATTTAAAAACCTTAGTTACGAATGTGACGGGAGATAGATTAACCTGGAGGACTAAAACCTGCATCGATGATCGGGAATAGGACGACAAGAATGTTTTTTTGCCTCACTATTCCGTCCTCGTGTGAAACTGGCAGTACGTGGTAAAAGATGTGGGATTTTCACCTAATACAAACATATCATTCTAAATAAATTTCTAATATTCTACATCTGTTATAGATATCTGTTAAACCGTTTTAGTTGTGTAGTGTAGTGTATGGTCTGACTATTGACTACTGTCATAGCGTCATGCCAGCGCTGTCGTATCCGAGCCACCGACGGGAACGGACGTCGCAAACATACAGTACTCATAGTAACAGTCATCCATACAAAATTTCGCATTTATATTAACACTAGTTTTCGCCTGCGACTCCGCCCGCGTTGAATAAGAAAAAACAAAAGTGAGTAGCCTATGTGTTCTTCCAGACTATCCTCTACATCTATACCAAATTTCATCCAAATCCGTAAGCAGTTTTGGCTACAAACTATAACAAACATCCATCTAAACTTTCGCATTTATAATATTAGTATGAAGTATAATTTTACCTTAAAGTAATAAAGGGAAAACCAGTATATTTTCAAACTGGTATTTTCGACATACATATTAATTATGGTGGTATAGAGCGTCAAACAAATTAGGCTGTGATCAAATTCTCGCGGAAACGTAACATTAATCAAGTCAAATTACGAAGAGAATATTTCCTCTAATTTTATCGCCCGTAAATCTTTGTAACGGACGTTATAAAACGACAATAAAACATTATAATTACCTTTTGTACGTTAATTGGATAATAATAATATATTTTTCTACTAAAAATAAATATTTTAAAAATCAAAATTTAATAATCTTAACAACGGTTTCAATAATATTTATGCCCGTAATCGGCGATAGCAAGAATTCTTAAATAAGCATCAATACTCAGTCGAGCGTCGGTGGCTCAGTGGTTTGAACACTTGACTTGTAATCTACAGGTCTTAGGCTCGAATCCCGCCATGAACCAATGTGATTTTCGATTTTTCGAATTTTCATATGTACATAATTTACCCGACGTTCTTACGGTGAAGGAAAACATCGTGATGCAACCTGCACATATCGGCGAAGAAATTCAAAGATATGTGTGAAGTCAACCAACCCGCACTTGGCCAGCGTGGTTGACTATGGCCTAGTCACCCCGTATTAGGGTAGGCTCCGAGCCCCTCGGTGGGGACATATAGTGAGCTGGTGATGATGATGATGATGATCAATACATAGTAAAAAGAAGTCGCTTCCCGCTGTCTGTTTGTTCTTATGTATGCATAGATCTTTAAAACTACGCAAAGAATTTTGATGCAGTTTTAACACATTGATATGTATAATATTAGAGAAATAATAATAATTTAGAGGTTTGTAATATAATGTTATAAACGTTTTTCTACAAACATAGGACTCATGAGAAGCAACTCTATACTAATATTATAAAGAGGAAAGATTTGTATTTTTAATTATAAGGTGGCAACGAGCAAGCAGCCACCTGAATCTACCGAAATTGGAGGCTACCGCTAATCATAAGCATCCGCTATAGCATATGCGTTGCCTACCCTTAATTGACGAAGGAGACGCACATAAAGAGGACATTTCCCCTTCCTATGCGTCTCCTAACCTATCCTTTCCCATTGAAATACCTCAAAAACTACGGGCCGATTTCAAAAATTCTTACACCATTAAAAAGCTACGATATCAGTTAGTAACGAAGGCTACATGTTTTATTATTTCACAGAGGCAAAGTCGCGACATCTACTACAGTATAAAGTTATATAAGAAGCTGGCGTTTTTTCTTGCAAATCGCTTTAACATTAACAACGTATTCATGATCTGGCAACGCTCCAGTAGCCGTTGACATAACATTCTTAATAGTGATGATAAAGTTGGGGAATCGCTGACATTCTAACCTGAACTAAATTATGATTGATTATAAAGAAAATGAATTCAAATCCATCACATCACAAATGACTACGATCTTTTTATTTTATAACTTTACAAAAACTATTCTTACGTAATTTTATATTTTCGGGTCGATTCTTGTAGGCTTTCGACTCTCGGCTTTTAATTGTAACATTACTAGCTTTCGACCGCGGATCCTTCCACGTGGAATTAACAAATACAAAAGTGAGTAGTCTATGTGTTCTTCCAGACTATCCTCTACATCTATACCAAATTTCATCGAAATCCGTCATCCGTTCATCCATCCATCCATTTATATTATCGCATTTACAATATTATTAAGAAGTAAGATTAAAAGTAAAATTCAAGACAATAGTGGCAAGCGAAGCAGTGGACCAGTACAGTAGGATCAAGGGCGGATCCAGCTTTGGCGCCAGGGAGGGGAGGGGGGGTCACATAGTAGTCGTCAAATCAAGAGCTTGACAAAATATGTAAATATATTTTTTCAAGCTCTTTACTAACCAGCTCAGTGTGCGATTGTTTCAAATTGTTTATTTGCACAACTAAAAATCGAGTAATGTGCACCTCCATTTAAGTTCATAGGAATCGAAGCGCGACAAAACAGTTGTGCGATAGTTTAGTCAAAGGTGTGCACGAGCTCTTTCATATTTGAGATGTTACTTTTAATATAAGTTTCATAATATTTATAATAATGATTAATGAGGACAGAGGTATATAAGTGTGTTCTTCAAATTACGTATACCTGCCAGTCAGTGGTTATTTAATTCATCAAATTAAAACTTCATTAAGTATTAGTTTGTAAATCAAGGTCAAAAAGACCTTAAAATTACTATTATATCCAATTATTAAAACATTATGAAATGCTCCAATAGCCTAATGGTTTGAGGTACGGACTACCAATCTTGCGGTCGAGGGTTCAAATGCCGCCATTCGACAGCCGTGAACCATATCCTAGCACAAGCCTACAGCTTAGTTGGAATGGTTAAAGGAAATATTAGTAAATAAATAGAAAAATCTACTAATATTTTGATAAAAAAAATAACCTACAAACCTAAATTGAGATCTCTTAGAAGATATAACAACCTCTTTAAACTTTTCATAAGTAACATAGCCTATGAGACTGATAACGTAGATTTTAATGGTGTATTTTTTTAAGTCGGCTCAGTAGTTTCTGTGTTATTTCAATACATACAAAATTCGATATCAAATCTTTCTTCTACTTTAGTATACTCGTAGATATAGATAAGTGCGGCAATGACCCTGATTATAATATACCGTGGGCAGCGCTCTAGCGAAGGGAAATGCATAATATCCAAGGGAAATGAACACGGAGACCGCGGTACAAATCACACAGTTCCGTTATTTGGATATAAAACTACGTACTTGAGTATGACAGTATATATTCTAATATACACTGATAGCGAATCTTACTTCTTACTAATTTTATAAATGCGATAGTTTAGATGGATGTTAGTTGGTGTTTGTAGCCTAAAAGGCTGAACGGATCTGGATGAAATTTGGCATAGATGTAGAGGATAGTCTGGAAGAACACATAGGCTACATTCGTTTGTTTTTATGAATACTACGCGGACGGAGTCGCGGGCGGAAGCTGCTAAAGTATTACCGGGAACAAAGTGTAAAAACCTAATACTGGGCATGATTTTAAAAATTTTACTCTAGTCCTTAATAGTAACTTATTATTTTATGTTTTATCGTTTTTAACAATGTTATATACATTTGAGTAGAGAGATTTGTTTTTTAACTGTATTAATTGGTATTTGAAATTTTTATTGTAAACATTGTATTCTAGCGTAGATTTTTAATGTAATAATTTTAATATATCGTTGAAATTTGGCATATATATAGAGTCTGGAAGAATACACAGACTACTTACTATTTTTTTTAACTCCACGCATACTGTTAAACATTTGTGTATAGTTCAACTTACCTATTTTTGTTTTTATATCTAAACATTGCGATATGTGCGGGAACTGGAGGATCTTGCGCCACTTCTTGCTTTTGCCCTTGTTGCTATCGGAACCGCCTGAGGACAAACAGATACATTTAGTAATTAATTAACTTTATTACCGAAAAACTTACAAACATACGATTGTATTTATTAATATTTTTATAGGAAAACAGTCGATAATTTCCACTATATAAGAAAACTAGCTGTTGCTTTTTTTTTTTGCCCGAGGAGAATGCTTTACGCATACTCCGCGTCTGGGGGGACGCAGTATTTATGTGGGACTCTCCCCATAATCATACCCACTAAACCCCTCGGTTCCTCTAACGCATAGTGGCGGGGACACGAGCACACTTTCGCTTTCGTCCGCGACCCCGCCTGCGCCAACTGCTAACCATGTACCATATTTAACGTTCGTAAGCAAGCTAAAACAACCCGATCATGGTAAGAAACCCGTAGCTTACCAACATTATGTCAGTTGCTTGCGACTTCCGCGTAAAATTAAAAAAATATATAGCCTAAGTTACAAAGTGATTATATAGCTTTTTAATGGTGCAAGATTTTTTAAATTGGTCCAATATTTTAGCGTTATTAACATTAACATGAAAAAAAAAACAGATTTTTTACAAAGTGACAATCTAATATCTCTTAGGGTTAAGCCTTCTATTCTTTAACCCTCATATATAAATCACCTGCTGCGTTAACAAAGATATAGGTCTGACATACACGGACTTCAAGACTGTTATAAATCAGCTCTAAAACAATTCAAAAGATCAGATCAGCTCAATAGGCTTGAACCATTGAGTTATGACTCAACAACTAAGTAAACAACTCATGGCTCGACATAATGTATTACTATAATAACTAACGAGCTGGAAACTGCCTTATGACTAGCAACTCACGAAAATCATTAAAGAGATGTGAGAGTCGGGTTTCACATGTCATGCATTAACAGTGGTAGAGCCCGCTTCAACATCTGCACACGAATGGCAGGCTCGC